CCCTGCTACTTTTGCACTGCTGAATTAGGACGTAGATCCTCAGAGATTTCTAGAACACAGCTCAGTTTGACTTTGGAGCCCGCAATTTCAAGTTTGGTTAGCATGCTCTCCTGCTCCAAAATGCCTCCTGTTCATGGATCCAGATACAAATGTGAGGCAAGATGCTTGTTTTGTCTATGTTTCATTGTACTTGGATGTTCCTTTGTTAACATGGTGCTCTGGTGCTCAGTATGAATATGCTAAGGATACCATTTTACCAAGCTGCATTTATAAGTCTTGTAGCAGCATCTTCCATGCAACCTAAAGACTAAAAATATTTTCTGGCCATGATCCAGGATTATTGCTCAGCCTGTTTTTCCTCTCATTTTCAATAACTCCTCAGGGAAAAATCAGGTAATCACAGTAGGTTGGAGGAAAGCAGATGAAAGTGCGCAAAAATCTGAGGTGAAATAAATCCATTAAAATATGAAAACGACATTCATGCAACCCCAAGTACAAACATTAAATGCTGCCTATGTCATAAACATGCATATTTTCAAAAACGTTTTATAATTAGTTTTCATGTGGACTTAAAAAATGGTGAAAGAGAATTTCATATTTTTCCTTCTTTTCTTCCTCATTTACCCTATATTCACTGATTCTTGAGTTTTGACTAATTGATGTTTTCTATCTTAATTTTCTCTCAGTGATATCCAGTTTTAGGTGTATAAATTTGTGATTGCATCTAAATTAACTTAATGCAATTTGCACACACAAAATTACAAATAACCCTACATTAGAAGAAACCATGAGTTTAGGGGTTCTTGAATCCTTGCATGGATATGCTTATTTTATACACTTTAGTGGTGTTTCCATTTTAAGAGGAGACATCCTCCAATGGCAGTTCAATACACAAAAATGAACCTTCAAATATTATGATAAGAATTTTAGTCAATATTGAACCTTATTCTGGCATTTATTATTTTAACCCTTGTTTCTACCACATAAAATACCATGTGGCATTATTTTCTTCTATATACCTTCAGAGCACTTTAGTGTCCTGCCATAGAAGGTATTCCAGAAAAGTTCAAGTTATCATGCATTTGTTCTTTCATGAGTAGCAAAGGAGCAGGTCACAGTGAAATTTCCTACAATGTATTCACTGGGAACCATGTTGTAGTGTTTACTATTATATTCCAGAGTTTAAAGGTGTCTGACACATAATAACGCATGCCCAAATATTCCATGAATAGATGCTGAATAAACTATTATGAGTATCACAGCATAGGTTAAAAATAGACATGAGCATATTAAATACTTTTGTAGGAGATATGGTATCTTTGCTTTTTCAAGTTATCAGATGTTAAATTTAAAATAACTGATTTTCCAGATATGCGTTTTAGGTGTGTGTGTGTTCAATAGATACCACGCATATATAGTTTGCTTTAAGCAAAAATCTGAATATTGAACAGATAAAGCAATTTCACAGTAGATAATATTTTTATGAAGGACTTTAATTCTATCATTCCATAGACATTTATTGAATAGTTATAAAATGGATTACTTGGTTCTATGAAATATTTACCCAAATATTTTAAATGATGCTATGTGTCGATTGAGTATTTATATTCATTGCCAGGAGTAGACATTTTGATTAAAATGAATTTTTTTAAAATTTATTAGAATAATTCAATCACATTAACAAGCATGATTAAACATGAAATGTAGATCAGTAAGTAGTACTATGTGTTTTTGTTCTCTCTTCTGAGTCTGTTTCATGTCTCCAGAATATTTATATTCTGCTAATTTGTACATGCCAATCTACTGCCTCCTAATAGACTATAATACACATATGTGATTACATGATAAGAGTTTGACTCCTTTGCATTGTTCAATATTTTGGACTGCTCACTTATTTTTTCAAATCAGTGGAACTTAATCAAATGCTCCCTGTCAAGGGAGGTATCAATATAGCCTAGTCATGAATCTTTAAATAAGGACTTTGGTTATTGAGTTTTTCAGGGAAGTTAATTCCAGCGAAATGGCCCAAGTTCTATCTCTTGCACTTCTTTCCATCTGTGAGATGAGGCATATGATTACTCACAGAGGCAATGCATAGATGAACTGAAAAAACAGATGATTCAAAATAGTAAAGCAGATTGATTATCTTCAGAATTATGTGGAGGTGAATATAGCGTAAAGAAAAATTGAAACCATCAAATGTAGCACTGTCCTGTGAAAACCTAAGTCAGACTGCTTCATTCACTCTCAAGAGAACTTTTAATATGGTGAACCTTAAATATCAAAACAAAATGCATAAATGCCAAAACCCAGGAGAAAAGGACAATAAAAAAAGCCTGCTAGTAGTCCTGTCTCAGGAGAGCCTGCTAACTCTACCTTGCTATTGACTGTGATAAACACAGCAGAGGCAATCAATAGGGAGATAAAGTAAACGCAACACTTACATTTGAAGAAGTGCAGAGAGGATTACAGTACACAAATAGCATAAATATATGAAACAATGAAAGCTATTAGATTCTAAAAGCATGCCTAAAAACAACGGGTAAAATCATCTCATCGTACATTTATTGCAGTAAGCAACTGCTCAAACTAAGGGTAAAAGCACGTTCCCCAATCCCTTTCCACATCACCCAAACTTGCTTTTCCAGTAAATACATTTGTGTAGCAGATTATGTGGTATATTACTTAAAACATAAGATTCAAGATAGAACTAATACAGTTTCATATTTATATGATCTGTGAAGGAGTTACTGATATAAAAATGACATTATACTAGATAGACTTTTAGGTTAACAGAAATAATATCTGAGAGATTTAGATAAATATTTATTTGCATATGTATAATATGCTGTACTAGTTTTTTCTACATACATTTAATAAAAATCATATGTTTCTGTATATATCAAAACTCAGACAATAGAACTAGTAGACATTATAAATTTGAATTAAAAATATAGAATTTATGCTTTACTTTCTTGAAATATTAATAAACTGTTTTCAACATTTAGTAAATTACAATATTTAGCTTGATTGTATAAATAACAAAAATACTGATAAAAGGGATAATCTGAATATTCTTACCAGCAAAATATGGAGATTTAGCACAAAGCCAGCTTAGTTTTTCATTCACTGATAAATTGGGTTGCCATAGCAAGCCCATAGTCACTGAGTTTCTAAGCAACCTACAACTCCACAGACCGCAGATACTTATTAGTCCACTGATCTTTCATCATCTTTAAAGAACAAATATGAACACTATAGCAAAATCAGTGGAGGATCCTTTGATTGTCCAGTCAAGAAGTGACTTTCATCCAATGTCCCCTGCACTGATAGGCATTCAGTTTTTTTTTTTTTTTTTTAGAAGAATAGAACTTGTATTAGGGGATTATTTGAATATTCAGTGCTAGGTAGAACAAGTTAAGTGCAGAAAATAGTACCTCAGTACTAGATGAAATAAGTATAAAAAAAATGGTCAGTACCTATATATTATGTGTTGAGCAAACAAATATTTATTGAATGAATGAACAAAGATGAAACATACAATCTAACTTCTAGAGAGTCATTTATATAATGCTAGTTTCAGGATTTATTTTCTATTCATATATATTTAGTAGTCTTAATATGTCCCTTCAATTTGTACATAATTATTGTACATTACAATAACCTTGATAATAGTAAAGCAGCAATTTTGCCTGAGATCTTGTATTAAAAGTTTGTAATTATGGCTTCTCTAGAATATTTGAGTAACAATATTAACTACCCAAGAGACACACAAATTACATAAATGTGGATGAAAAGTTATGTTTTCAATGAGTTTATATTAGCATTTCCTGTTCCTGTCTATAAACAGCTCTTCAGTCTCCTGTTTCACAGTGCCCACTGAGATAAACCATTGCCTCTGCACTGTTTTAATTCACTAGGCTGCATTTCTAACTATTTAATTGCAATAAATAAAATTAAGACATACAAATATGGTCTATTCCTACAGATCATAGTATTACAATGCTAGTCCAAATAAAAGGTCACAAAGGGGAATGATTGTATGTGACCAGCAAAGTGATTGTAACTAATCCGTACAATTTTGCCTAGTTCCATGCTTAATTTTCTATACTTTCCACTGTCATTCTATGTAGTAAATTCTTTCCTTGAAAAACATCTTGAGGGATGACTTGCAAATTGGAAGCCAGCTTTAATTTACTGGTTAATTATTTGTTACCTTATACATCCTATTTGCTATTGCATCAGAGATTTAGTAGCCAGAGTCAATACATTACAATAACTGAGTTCTCTAACCTAAGTAAAATTACAAAATCACCTCTTAGGCATGTCACAGAAGGCACCTGTTGACTAGTGCCATGCCAGGAATTCCAGCAGTAGTGACTGCCTGTGACCTCTACTTGTTGCACTGATCATCAGAAGCAGGGAGCGCAGATTGTTCTGTCTGAGAAGACAGCCACTCTGCCTTAAAATCTTAATACAAGGGAGACCAAAACTTCTATAACTCTGTTAATTTCCTCTTGGGTTGAAAGTAACCATCTACAATTTAAGTCTTCCTAGGACATACATATCCCTCAGAAAAAAAAGATTCCTGCACATAATGTTGTACTTTTTAGTATGTTGCTCTACTAAGGTATTTCTGTCATTGCAAAAATGGAACCATATATTGGAGGGTTTAAATAATTTCAAATACTTTTGAATGCCCTCTTTTCAATTAGTAGTGTAGACATAGGTGAGATCACAGTAAATTACTACACCTGGCCTCTCGCCACTTTCTTTAAGTATAATCCTTATTTAAAAGTTTGGGAAACAGTGTCTGAATGCCTACAATACCACACATATTCTACTCCCTGAGAGAAGAGAGAAATTCAAGTATACCCTAAACCGGGCAAGGACAAAGCAAAAATCAGAACAAAGCAAGAGAGTTTAGTACTGCAGGCACCAGTCTGGACTCTTACATCTTTAAACTAGGTAACTTTCAGTTATTATATAGATGTAATTACCGGTTAGAAGTCCGATGAGAGAGTGCAAGGCCACGAATATTAACGTATTTTGAAAATGCTGTTGGAAGACCACAGAATAACACTGATGACTCCAGTCTGTTTGTTGCAAGTGCTGGATCAAATCATTGCTGTATGCCAGACAGCCCCACCTCCAAGTATCCAAGAATGGCTGTGGAATTTTGATTGACACTCCAGTGAGGCAGTAGACTCCTAAACCAAAGTAAACCCTGCACCCAGTGTTTGCTAACCTGTCCAGCTTGAAAATGAGCTCTCTTTATCCTGGTCCTTTTCTTTTTTTGAAAAAAAGAAACAATCACTCTGTGACATTTAAAAGAACACTGTAGCAGTTCCCTCTCCAGGGATGGCCCTACTTATTTTCCCCTAGCAATTCCCTGGACTCCTTCCATTCTGTGTCTTAGTTGAAGGACTTTATGGTCTTCCTTGGAAGCACTTAAGAACATGTATGCTGGACTTTGGGAGGAGAAACAAAGCACCAGTGAATACTCTGGGTTTTGGAAAGCTGAAGATAGCATTGAACAGAGCCATGGAAAACTGTCACTATCAAGTTCAGGCTCACCATAGTGGTGATGCTCCTTTGCCCTATAAGAGAACCAAGATGGTACTATTTGATGAGCATACCATTAAATATGTAATACATAATTATAGTTTAAAACAAACATACTCTAAAAATTAAGGGCATTTTAATATATGCTAAATGAAACCAAAAATATGATTGTTTCCCAAATCATTTAAGAAACAATTGCAGATTTCAAGCCTAATGACATTTATCCTCATGTACTCACACATCCCTCATGAATATTTATCATGTAGCCACTACATGCTGAGAACTCTGCCACAAAGAAGAAAGCACGATTCCTACCATGACATTTTCTGCAATATACTTCAAATACTTCAACATAAATTACAGCGTGTTTCCAAGTGTTCCATACTTTGAACCTACCCTAGTTGAGAACATTCATTCTAGAGATAGTTACCTAGCATTTAATACAAATCCAAAATTTAGTTATCTTTATTCCCTCAGGAGGTTGGCATAATAAATATTGAGGTTTTAATGGTGAAATAAATGATTTCAAAGATTTATGGATTGGCTATAAATAGTACAGGGTAACTATCTACTCTTATATAACAGTTTTAAAAAATCTATCAAGTAGAGTTGTCTGAAGCTAGCTCAGAAATGGCTTGTTGTCTAAGCATTGATTTAAAGCAGTCTTGGCTGCATCCAATTGAACAGAGGGTTTTAGATACACATTAAATGTATTTCCTCAGATGAACTGTTATTGAGGTTACTAATACTTCCGGAGACAACCCAATAGTAGTGCCTGTCCAAACTGGCACTTAGTATAGAGGAGCTTATATTGTACATACACAGAAGACAATTTCACAAAGATTCAAGTGGGCGGGGTGGGAGGGAAGACCACAAAGTCCTTTGACTCATAGGACATGCACATTTGCTCAGATATAAATAGCTGTGACTCACAGTCCAGGGACCCTTTTGCCCACATCTACATGTGATACAGTTCTTCTCTTTCCTTCATGACCTTCATATTGCATAAGTTGAAAAATATCTTATTGATCATTGATTCTCCATCATTTAAAAAAATAAGGATTTAGAGAGCTAGGGAGTCAGGAAAATCTTGTTTTAAATCATCCTAATGGTTATTTTTAAAGCCCTCAAGTCAAATATTGCTTGATTTTTATCATTGTGTTCCTACTTTCTCTACTTGTTGCCTTTTTTTCACATCTCTTATCCCTGGCTATGCCATGTGATTGGACAAGGTACTGCTTCCATGTTTTGTGTATGTCATTATTCTTTGTTCTTCAGTGATGTTACTCAACCTAATAATAACCTCCTGGGTCATTTTAATACTTTGCTTCTTTTTGATTTCCATACATTGTTAATATTACTGCTACTAGTATGAAGTTAATTTTTTTAAAACTTTAATTCCAGTGTTCTTGCGTGCTTTAATTTTAAATTAAATCATTAAATAGAATTAAAATAGGCTACATTAATCAAATAGAATTTTTTAATTAAATTATTAATAGAATGATGTAAATTAAAAATATATCCCATTACTTTCTTCTTATTTGGGACAACTTGACAAATTCTAGGAAAGAATAAGAAAAGGACAAATATTTATGCACACATTACCATGGGTCAGGTGTCATGTTAAATATTCATGTCCAGAAAATTTCTATGAGTTAAGTACTTTTAGCCATTTTTTTTTTTACAAAGAAAATAACTGACCTGAGGAAATTAAGAAAATTAGATAAATGCAGACATGTCCACAATTGGGATGAAATAGGTAACCTTGATTTTATGCATCTAGTTCACAAGTATTACTAAAGATTGGTAGGAAAACATGAGGATGCTTAGTAAACTATAAGCATTTTCTTGTTCATATTTAAATTTTGCCTTTTGTCAATATAAATCTCTCAGCAGAAGCATTTCTCTGTTACTTTGATGTTTCAGGATTATCTTATTTTCACATAGATTATAATTAAAACACTTATTGGTAGTCATTTAACTTTAATGAACTAATCTTTAACAATAGCTATTTCTGATTCCAGAGGATCTGAAAATAGATAAAACCTTTAATGGAAACAAGCTTAGTTACACATACAGAAAAATTATTATCAAATAGCACAATGGAGACCATAGCAGAGGGTCTGTGGTTCAACCTACACAGAGGTGGCAATCCTAAAGGGGGTTTTAGGAGGATAAATGGCAGGCTCCATAGAGAAAACAATAGACCATCTCTATGCTCAAGCTGGAGTTAGAGATCCAGCACCAAGCCTTGGCCAAGGCAGAGGACATTACCCCATCCAGAGGAAGATTTAGCAATTTCCACCAGTAGCCAAGGACTCTGAGAAGGAAAATGGAGTTGTGGTAGCTTCAAAATAAAAGAGAAAAGTCATTTCAAATTGAGTACCTAAATTCAGGCTTCACTAGAAGAAAACGCAGGTTTCCAAAGCAGCCAGACTGCTAAAAGTTCTCACTTTACTTGCATTAGGAAGCACAAATAAAAACTAAACACTATTTCAAGTCACACAAATCTCAATGCTAAAAAGTTACAAAATACTTGATGCATTTTATAATCATTTTCATTTTGTTATTTGGCAACTTTCAACCCATTTAAATCTAGAAAATGAGGGCAAATCTGTTGACTTGTTATAAAATGCAGAAACTATTATTCAAAAATAATAAATACAAAAGCTAAGAGATTTGTTTATAACTTTGGAAGCATTATCATGATTTCTAAGCCTTACACTATTCAGAATAAAAATATCAAAAGGTGAGTGTTTCCGTCAGTACAGATCTCTTTGCTTTCTGAAGTAATATATGTTTTAGAAAGATCTTAGTATGTTTCTTTGTATCTATGGATAAAAGCACATCATCAGACTATGAATGTTGGGGGCAGAAAAAGCCAGTGCTCAGACCTATGGAAGTAAGAAAACTGAGATGGATAAATAATCATCCACACCAATATAGAAGCCTAATTGATATGTTCATAAAGAAATTAAACACAAGGAAACTTGAAAATAATATTTAAAAATGTTTGTTTGTTCTATTTTCACACTTTGATATGGAAAGAGTCTACATTGTAGAACTGTGTTACTGAAGTGAGCTTTTGAAAAGTACAGATTTTGTAGTAATCTCCCTTATTCCCCCACTTAAAAATCTCCTAGCAATCCCCAGTAACTCTTGTAAAATCCACTCTCCTGGTGCCACTACAGTCACATTTATTTCCAAGTTCTGCTACCCTTCCCAGAAGCTGGGGTTAAGCTAAGGACAGCACACTCATGCTGCATGAAGCTCACTCCCTGGCCTCTGTCCAACAGTTTTTTTCTGGAGTCTCTCACTCTCTGTTGCTCAACTGGATTAGTCAATAGCAGCTCAATCTTCCTGTCCCCCCATCCAGACAGCAACCCTCAAAGTCTCTGGGACAAGCACTGGCCTCCTTTTGCCTTGAACTTAACTGAGCTTCGATGTAAACAACTGGATACATAGTCAGACCTAGGAGCAACTTCCTAGAATAAGACAACTGGGGGAAATAGGTATTTATATCTTATTAAATTCCAACCTTTAGTATCTCATACCCCTTCCTCCTTGGGGCTAAGTAGAACCAAAACTATTTATAGTGACTGTTTTAAAAGTCATTATGCTTATCTCTTTAATCTGATTGGAATTGAGGAGGAGTTTACATATTCTTGTGGAGTGTTGTCTGTTTCAAAAAATCCCATCACCTATTTTAGTCCTTGAAATATGACTTCATATTTTAACCTATGAAATTATATTTCCATAAGTTCATGTATTGAAAAACCATTTAAACTGTATTACATTATATTAACTAACATCCACAGTGCTTAACACAGACCAAAGAGCATCCTGATAATATTACATGGGCTTTCATGTCATCTATATTAATCTTCACAACATCCTTCGAGAAATTACTGTTTTTCCAAATATTATAAACTGCAAAAGAAGTTAGGTAACTTGCTCAAGGTTAGTCAGTACTGAGCTAAGAGTTCAATATCACCATTTCCCTCAGATGCTCCATCCTTTAATATTACTATCTCACATGATCACCTATTGCTATCTGTATAAAATAACATTAAAAAGGAAATATTTCTTTAAAATTATATATTTTCTCTTAACTTTTTTCATTAGTATTTTCTTTTACATATAACATGTATCTAATTTACATAAAGAAAATGAAATCCTGTTCAAATCTGATTTGGGCAACTTAGGCCTCACCACATTTTTGCAAGTCTACTCTATCTTGTCTTTCTTTACTCCAGCATATAGAGTATAGGTTTCTTTGCAAAAAGTACCATAATGATGTCAGAAAAGAAAAAAATCTTCAAGTATGAAGTTACCTTCCACACAGCAATTTAACTTTTTGAAACTTGTTTTCAGGACACTTTAATATTCAAATAGTGAAGTTACATAAACCAGAATAGAACCCATTGTGACAGATGTCACTGACCCTCCATATTCATATTTTCTAAACAAACTCTGATATTATATTTCAGATATTTTATGTCCATGTAATTCTAAGACCCCCTTTCAAGATACTGAGGCTGAATATTGATCAATTTA